CAGTCAGACATTTTTTTTCTTGCAATTTTTTGATGAAATATGAGTCATCCATCTTTCCTCGTGCCGTACAAGTGGTTTTGGGAAATTTTTCAAAACCTCGCTTCTCTATAGTTTCAAAATGGCGCCTTCCATCGTTTGTTGTCAAACGTTTGCGGAGTGTTTTTTTTTCAGGGGGGCGGAACCTGGGGGGGGGCAGCGTTTCAAAAGGGGTCACCAATGGCGGTTCCGCAACAAATGCGCCCAAAATCTAAATAGGGCCGATGGACCGTCGTCCGATCACAGCAATTTCGAGCGAACAAGGGGGGGGGGGGTAATTTGGGGTCGGAAGGAGCAAAAACTCAATTAACGCCCGCTGGGGGCGCCCTGCAGTAAGGTAGCCGCAAACAGAGGGCTTGTTTTCAGGCCAGAAATCGCAGTCAGACATTTTTTTTCTTGCAATTTTTTGATGAAATATGAGTCATCCATCCTTCCTCGTGCCGTACAAGTGGTTTGGGGAAATTTTTCAAAACCTCGCTTCTCTATAGGGTGCAGACCAGTAAATCGGTCCGAAATTGCCTGCGCCGGCCAAATCACGATTTGCATGCCCTCAAAATCTTCGGTATTTGAGCATGCTGTGGGCCATGAACTTGAGGGATTGTAAAAAATATGGGTGGAAGCCGTGCACAGGACTGGGAGCTTGCAGTTCTGTGTAATTTGGATGTAATTTGGACCCTAAAAGCGCTCTATTTTGCAATGGAGTGTAGGCATCGTTTTTCAAAATGGCGATGGGCTTCAGGACTATTTTCAGGGGTGATCATCTTCAGATGGAAATTTCTCCTCAAAGTCATCAGTTGACCCCCCGAAAATTGAAAAGAAAATGAAAGATGATGAAATCAGCTTCAATTTGATGTGTGTCTCGAGCACCTTGGAGAGTTGTGAGTATTTTTCCCGAATTTTTGAAGTGGGAGCATTTACCATTGGGGTCTATGGAAGTTTATTTACTGGTCTGCTAACATACGGCGGAGCCATGGGCGCCGCCATATTGAATGACTGCTGCCCGCTAGCGGTAGCATTGCTGGCTGTAGGCGGGAAATTCCATTGTTGTCCGGGGAAGAAAGACGGCCCTGGTTGATTGTGAGGGACGACCCAAGGCGAGGTCTGTCCGGGCTCATTTTCTACCACACGTCTAGCCTGTGGTGCTCTAGACACTTGCGGTATATTCTGCGAGGAATACGCTCTCGTGTCGGTGGCGGAAATTGGGCAAGGCGGCCCGCTTTCCAATTCTTCTGCACGTTGACCACCAGCCCAAGGCGAGGCTGGGGCCTGTGACTTACGCACTCGTTCAACCCTAGGCGAGGTTGACGAGGCCGCAGACGGTCCCGAGGCCGTAGACGAAGATCTCAAGGCTGAACCAGGCACATCTTTAGCCTGCTTGTCGTTGGCTTTCCCTTTCTTGGTCGACATATCGAAGCAATAAACGTAGAAAAACCGAATTGGTTGTAGCTAAAATTTACTAAGTACGTGAAACTGAAGACGTAGTGTAAAATACGTGTGTGCTAAACCGTACCACAAGAAACAAAGACATGCCTCAATGGTTTCTTGGGGCTTTATACCCAGCGTGCTAGGGCTAATTTGCATTTTTATGAATGAAGGAATGATCCATTTTCTTCAAAGGGTGGTGCAAACCGTATTACCAGGGACAATAATACACGGTGAGTCTCGACGACGAGGACGAAATATAATTAGCATAATTATGTTGCATAAACTCCAACGACGTTAGAGGCTCCGTCAAGTCTACCGTTGTCATAAATTCAATGCAGAATTTTATTATACCCATGCAAAAGACCAACAACAAAAAAACAATATAAAAGCCATTTTATCTTAAAATTAGCATAATTATGTTGCATAAACTCTAACGACGTTAGAGGCTTCGTTAACTCTACCAATAGTCCCAACTGGTTGTATGCTTGAGTAGCCATCCATGCTTGATTTTTCAAAAAGGGGAGTGCAAAAAATAAAAAACTCAGAAAAACTGTATTTAACATCCATTTTCCTATGTGCTTGAAATAAACCTAGACATGAGAAATAACACGTAAAAATTGTGGAGCAGCAGGATTCCAGTCGAACCAGTGAGTTTGGTGGTTTGAGACATTATCTTACATTGAAATACATCATCTTACATTGCCGTCGCGCATGGCTATGGCGACGCGCGCATACCAGAAACCAGAGCCATTTTTGGCCAATAATCGTTTACTTCGTTTCGTATGAATAAAAAGGAGTAAATGCTTCAGATTTCAAATATGCACTTGTCATTTACAAGGCTGGGTTGGGGCAACCTTGAAATTATAAAGCAAAATAATTCTGCGCAAAAACTACTGCATTTATTAAAGTTCTATAAAGTACAAATGATACCATATGTTTGTATGAATAAAGCATGGCATTTGATTTTTCTACCACTTTCGAAGCATATACTCGCATCTGTATGAATGAAAATTAAGCAAACACTTTTACTAAAAACCATTTGCTCTTGAGTAAATGGCCTGCAAAATGTTAAGCTTCACACTTTTATAAGTTTGCAGAAAATCGTAACCATCGTAACCGAAACGGAAAGCGGCACCGGGGAGGGTCACGTGCTGGAGGACAGATACAAAAAAAGCGCATCAAACGTGACGAACGCAATGCCGTTTACGTGCACAATGCGCTGTGCATCGGCACCCATGGTCTACATGTGGATTGGGTTTTCAGTCCCCACCTGATTCCGTGGGTTTTCCCCAGACTATTCTTCTGGGGTTTTCCTCCCACCTCTAAAACTGTAATTTCTTCTCATTGTCTTCTCTCTACGGTTTTTTCCGGGGTTTGCAAGCTACAGTGCCTGGGGCATGCACTTTTGAGGATCCTTGGTTTCATTACCAGAAAAAAATATATTTATCGTTTACTTCTTTTCGTATGAATATAAAGGAGTAAATGCTTCAGATTTCAAATATGCACTTGTCATTTACAAGGCTGGGTTGGGGCAACCTTGAAATTATAAAGTAAAATAATTCTCCGCAAAAATTACTGCATTTATTAAAGTTCATAAAGTACAAATGATACCATGTTTGTATGAATAAAACATGGCATTTGCTTTTGCTACCACTTTGAAGCATTTACTCGCATCTGTATGAATGAAAATTAAGCAAACACTTTTACTAAAAACCGTTTGCTAAATTCTTAAAATAATTACTTTTTACCTTTAGGCTTTTGCTACACTATAAGCGTTTACTTCGTTTCTTATAAATAAAATGGAGTAAATGCTTCAGATTTCAAATATTTACTGTCATATTTCAAGGTTGGGTTGGGGCTACCTTGAAAATATAATAGCAAAAATTACTGCATATATTAATGTTAATCGCGAAAAAGTACAACTAATACCATACGGTAGTTCGTATGAATACAAAATGGCATTTGCATTACTCCCATCTGTATGAATACAAATTAGTCAAAGGCTTTTACTAAAAACCATTTACTCTTGAGAAAATGGCCTGCAAAATGTAAGCTTTACCATTTATAGGTTTGCAGAAAATAAAATTTTCGTAACCGAAACGGAAAGCGGCACTGGGGAGGGTCACGTGCTGGAGGACTGATACTAAAAAAGCGCCAAACGTGACGAACGCAATGCCGTTTACGCGCACAATGCGCTGTGCATCGGCACCCATGGTCTACATGTGGATTGGGTTTTCAGTCCCTACCTGATTCCGTGGGTTTTCCCCAGACTATTCTTCCGGGGTTTTCCTCCCACCTCTTAAACTGTTATTTCTTCTCAATAGGGAGGTTTCGCAAGCGAACGGATACGCTTACACTTACGCTTAGCTATCCGTATCCGTTTTTTACTTACGTGTAGCGAGCGAGATATGCGTGTCGTCTGCACGTTTAGCGGATGGTGAGTGGCGTATGACGTCATACGTGCAGACGACACGCATATCTCGCTCGCTACACGTAAGTAAAAAATGGATACGGATAGCTAAACGTAAGTGTAAGCGTATCCGTTCGCTTGCGAAACCTCCCTATTGTCTTCTCTATACGTTTTTTTTCGGGGTTTGCGAGCTACAGTGCCTGGGGCATGCACTTTTTAGGAATCCTTGGTTTCATTACCAGAAAAAAATTATTTATCGTTTATACTTCGTTTCGTATGAATAAAAAGGAGTAAATGCTTCAGATTTCAAATATGCACTTGTCATTCACATATTATATGCCAATCACATAGTATATGGCACCATTTATTATAAACAGAACTACACACCCTTCCTTGATGGAACATATACTTGAAACTTTACATGTCACAAGTCACAAAAAATTACCGAAACAGCCCATTTAATTGACACGATACGAGTGGGTGTGGTGGTTGACGTTTGACGATCCGGTAGCCTTTTTCAGGTAGCTTGCTTGGGGTAGAACTTGGCCTTCGGAAGCTTCATAGCAGCGTCCGGTCGTCTCCGCCGTAACTTCAGTGACGATTGCAGACCACCACTCCCCACTGTGTCAATGTGGCACTCTGCCGAGATTTGGCATTCTAAACCTTATATACTACACTATTAACACAAAGGAAAGAATTCGGATAGATCTGGCTTAACACAAATAAAAGAACACCAGAGAGCTACATGCACTCACATTCCATTACACTGGTATAGGTTTGCGGTGAGGCATTCTTACATAGCCTAATTCAAACACAATGCCCATTGTTCAAGTGAATTCCTTACATTGGAACTTCCGTCAACTACAAGTTACAATTAAGTAAAATTAAACCTTTTGAAATAAACTTAAGCATAAAAAATCAGTGTAGTTGGGACCATTGACAATAGCTAAACTGTCTGAGGTATTTATGAAATGTGGATCTAAATATAGTGGCCTGCGACTAGTGCGAGGAATAGGACAGAGGAGAAATATATCAGAACTAGAAGCGTCGAGAATAAATTTGAGAATATGGTGACCATAATTTGGAGAGTTTTGTGTTGGGTCTGTAGGCCTATACGTACGGTACTTACTTCGGGAGAGTACCATACTCAACGACAGCACGACGACACACCAGAGTTGCAGAAGTAACGCGGGTCCACGTCTCTCCATGACTTCGACGACAGTTCGAAAGAATGATCCCCGAATAATATGCGCCTATAATGCACTCTTACGTCAGGCAGACACGAAGAGTTCGATACACAGAGCACCAATTCAACGGGTGTTGCTCACTCAGTGACAGCCTTTCCTCTACCCACTTGTTGCTTTATACCCCTGGCAACAACCATCACCTGAAAAAAGGAAGCTGTTCGTGTCCGTCGACAAATTCGATTCTCCCCCAACGAAGTTTCCACTTGCACGTTATTGTTTCGATATACAATTAACAAATCTACGGAAGTGTATTTAGGACATGACCAAAAAAAAAAAACTCCGGCCCTCTATTTCGCCTGGGCGGATTACTATTTCGCCCGGGCGGATTACTAATTCGCCCAAGCGAATTATTATTTCGCCCGGGCGGATTACTAAATCGCCCGGGCGAATTACTATTTTGCCCGGGCGGATTACTATTTCGCCCGGGCGGATTACTAATTCGCCCGGGCGAATTATTATTTCGCAACGAAGTTTCCACTTGCACGTTATTGTTTCGATATGCAATTAACAAATCTACGGAAGTGTATTTAGGACATGACAAAAAAAAACAAATTCCGGCCCTCTATATCGCCTGGGCGGATTACTATTTCGCCGGGGCGGATTACTAATTCGCCCGGGCGAATTATTATTTCGCCCGGGCGGATTACTAATTCGCCCGGGCGAATTACTATTTTGCCCGGGCGGATTACTAATTCGCCCGGGCGAATTATTATTTCGCCCGGGCGGATTATTATTTCGCAACGAAGTTTCCACTTGCACGTTATTGTTTCGATATGCAATTAACAAATCTACGGAAGTGTATTTAGGACATGACCAAAAAAAAAAAAATTCCCGCCCTCTATTTCGCCTGGGCGGATTACTATTTCGCCCGGGCGAATTACTATTTTGCCCGGGCGGATTACTAATTCGCCCGGGCGAATTACTATTTTGTCCGGGCGGATTACTATTTCGCCCGGGCGGATTACTATTTCGCCCGGACGGATTACTAATTCGCCCGGACGAATTAGTAGTCTGCCCGGCCAGGAGAATTAGTAATCTGCCCGGGCGAATGAGTAATCCGCCCAGGCAGAATAGTAATCCGCCCGGGCGAAATAGTAATCCGCCCGGGCGAAATAGTAATCCGCCCGGGCGAAGTAGTGGGCCTAAAAAATGTTTTCGGTCATGTCCTAAATACGCTTCCGTAATACACAAATCAATGTGTTTGTCATTCTTGGACTTTGATTAATCTTGTTGTTAGTGGCCTTTAGCACCGCGGCTGGCGGATTTAGCCTGCAGTCAGTTACATTGTCACGCACACAGCCCACGTTTTTTGACCTCAGTTTCTTGTCCCGAGGTCAAGCACGCATGGCCCAAAAGCGTATGCGAGATTTACGAGAATTATTACAGACTACAGAAAAACACGAACAGTGCCTGGATACATGCACTGTTTGGCCAAAATGGCTAAATAATTGAAAATTTGAAATCGTGTGCTTTATATTGATACAAAAAAATAACTGCTTTAGACAAATATAAAGTGTTGTTACGGCCTGTCAAACAAAATCATATTTTTTATCAATAAAATCGAGGGCCGATAGTTTTTAGGTGTACATTCAATTCTTAGAAAAGGCCGAAAGAAATGGCAAGGCTCAGTAGATAGAGGAAAGTATACGCTTCATTTTCATGTAAAACACGTGCAGAAGACTTCTAATGTTTGGTCCAAATCGCCGGTTGAAAAATGAAGACTTTTGCGAGATTTCATGATTTGCAATCACGTGTACGCGTGTAAACGAACGTTAGTATTTACGCCGACGTACGTTGGCCTAAAAAAAACGTGCTAATGTGCAATGAATAACTTATGAATATTAAGCTCGACCAATCAGTGGGCGTATGGGTCACAAGGTCACACCGTGTTTGGGTTCCTCGCTCTATGCTTTACAATGACGACGATCTTTTCGCGTTGTGAAAAAATTGGAGTTGTTGGAAACATTAGGTGTACATCGAATTCTTAAAATATTAACGACATCACGTTCACGAGATTTTTTGTAGATGAAGGTTCAGTCTTTCCTTTGATTACCTCAACATTTGGGAGACTTTCGTCGTTCTTGAAAAAAACTAACCCGGAAATTTTATGACCTAATTTTCAGTCGATTTGTCCGTGAAATAATATCGTCAAAATGCATGGAAATCCTTTTTTGAGAAAAAAATACCTTGATGGATGTATGAATTAAGTAGGTCTTTATAACTACCTAAAAAAACTTTGTTTGTTTGGATCGGTTGTGGTTTGCCATGGAAATTGCGCATTTTCTGAAGCCCTTTTTTCGAATCGCGTCTGCATTAGGGCGACACGTCTTATTGACGGTGACGAATTGGTGTCACCCTATTGTTAAGACGACCCTTAGGACGAGCAATTTTACCGTCGCAAACCACCTACATCGATTCCTCGTGGTCCAAAACACCAGGCGCGGATCCAGAGGGGGGGGGGGGTGTCAACCCCCTCCCCCCCCCAAGCTCTGTCCAAAAAAAAAAAATATCATACAAATTCCTAAAAAATAAGTCAAAACTCCCCCCCCCCCCCCGTGACACCCCAAAAAATTATAATGTCCGCCTGTTCAAAATACAGTACACCATTTTGTAATCTAGTGTTAATAATCGTCGAATTTGAACAGCGCCCCCTATGTGCTATTTACCCATACTGGACAATGGTATCGCCCTGCAATGCATGTGCCCGTCGTTTTTCCTCGAACATGCACCAACCCCCAGATTGATGATCTGAGAACGGCACTCTACGGACTGGGCTAACCGACTCGCACTTACCAAGCGGGGAATTTAATATATATATAAACCTACGGTTGCAAAGGGTACGGGGGAGGCACAAACCTTGAGCCGCATGGGGGGGGGGGGCGTTCCTCCATGCCTCCTTATACGCTACGCCACTTAAAAAATGCGAGGGAGCTTAATTCTTCTCACTGCCTTCCGGATTGATGTCTATAGAGGGGCACCCAGTGGGCATAGGGCTAATTCCCAAATTCCCGTAGTTCAATGTCAAAGTTTTGTTCAGCTGATACGGTATAAAGCACGACGTTGTTTGGTTGCGTTTTAGCCAACAATAGGGCACTAGTTTGGCAAAAAAAACCACGGGCATAATTTATATAAATTACGCACATTGACACTTACTGATATTGATAAATTACTAACTGGTATTATAATTGCTTTCTTCCCCGTGTAATGTTCTCTTCATGATATTTCACTTCAGTTTGCGATAATCACAAGTACACCAGTCATGTCCAGTCTAGTCCCTCATTCATGGAATGGAATCAGTCTATACAATCACAGTCCTCACTGAAGAACCATCTTTTTGGCCCATTATAGTAGTAGCTTTCTCTTTCTCGATCTCCGTCATGACCATTTTTTTTTGTGGCTCCTTCTTTCCTCGTAGTGTTTATGATTTATTTCATTACGTCATACTATTATATCATTGACTTTGTCCCCGGACCCTAGACTTGTATGTTTGCTCGTCAGTCCGCCCTTTTCGTTTGTACTTCTTTGTTCTTTGAAATTATCAGAATTATTTTTCAGTTTTGTATTGATGCATCCAGCAAGGATGTACCGCAATTTAATAGCTCCGGCTTTTTAATACCATCTAGACCAGTTTTGCGAAGCAAGTTTGACCGGCGACAGAACGGATCGATACTCGACTACCATCCATCTCTATATAACATTCTTTTACCTTGCTAGTGCTCTTGATGTAATTGCTATTGACTTGAAATATCTGTTTTAGTTTAGTTTTCGATTCATTTTTTTGGCTTATCTACGCCGGACACCCTCCGACAAGGAGAAATCAAGGCTCATTTGTAAAGTTCTTTTTTGTTTGGGGCCTCAATAAAAAACACACTTCATGCGGCTTTTGACAACATTGCCCGTCTCAGCTATAACTCCTTGTGCCGCATGGATTCTCCATGAAAATGATTTTTATGAATGGCGTGATGCGAACTTGTACGGGCAAACTAGCTCCGAGTCAACTCGTCGTAGAGTACAACTCGGTCTCTCTTTGATTATGCAATTGGTAATGACGAGACAACCGCGTTGAGGCAGGACCGAGTTTGCCAGAAGGGTCCGAGCCGGCGGTTGACAGAGTTCGAACTAGTGTGCATCCGTGATCGCTATTGATGAGTAATTTTCGTTCCAATCTGGCCGACAATAATCCGACTTTTCAACTGTTTTCCTCTAAAAATGTACGACAGGTAGTGCCAGGACAATGACGAAGAAACGGAAGAAGATGCGGATTTCGAAGGGGAAGCTTATGAAGGATAATGGTGCAACAGTAAGTAATTTTATGTGAGAAAAACGTGATGTGCGTGAAGTTGAAGGTCGTTTTCATGGTTTTGTACACGTCAGACATTGTGCAACTGCCAAAGGACAACAGACTTTGACAAAATGACTCGCGCAATCACATGACGAAGCGTTTACAAAACGCAGTGGCTATTGTTACGGCAGCCGTAACGCATTTCCCATTTTCTATCGTTACGGTAGACTGCAACCTGGCAACTTTTATAAAAAAACATGACAAGAAAATATAAAATTAGAAGGAAAAAAGTGAATTTGAACTTTATGAAATTCGGACTTTATTTCCCTTTTAAAAAAATCCTCCAAAGCCTCAGGTTAGAAAAGGAAAAAAATTCGAGTGCAAAACTGAGATTCGAACCCGCAACCTCGCGGTGCAAAATCCTACCCTCTATCGGCTGAGCTGGCGCACTGCTCGATAAAACGTGTGGAAACAAATAATTATATACCTGCGTGCGTATCAAAAAAATATCGTAGAGGGCGCTAAACAACGAGTGCCGTAACGATAGCCACTTCGTTTACAAAATTGTTCAGAGGGAATGAAACCAAGTGAAATAGTAGTTTAGTAGGACTATGAAAAAAACTATATGGGGCCTTTCTTGGGGGGGGGGGAACTCCAAAAACCAATAAAAGCAAACCACTTTAATAATAATATTACTAAATGGTCATGATGGTAGTGGAAATTTTGCCGGAAGTAATGACGGCAAACTAACGATTACTAAAGGTTTGCCGGCGGCAATCCATATCAACAGAGGGCGCTGTACTCTTTAAAATAGGGCTGAATTATAAGATGTATTAAATTCCCACCAAAAGTTGTGTAGCACGTTTGGTGTAGAGGTTAAGCAAAGGCTCTCGTAAGCGGGATGACTCGCGTTCGATTCCGACCGCACCACACTTGGGCCTATATTTTTTGTTCTCATCCCCAAATAAATAAGAATATTCTTATTTTATTATTTTAACATGTCTCAAACATTTTTTGCAGAGTATTACATTTTCTTTTTCAGATTTGTGGCTCTGGAGGATTTTTTTTTAAAGGGAAATAAAGTCCAAAATTATAAAATGGTCTGAATCCCCTCTTGTGAATACGAGGTAACAACGATAATTTTGGCATGGAGCCAGACTAAAACTTGTCACCGGAAAATGTTAAAGTACAAAAAAACAGTAACTGCGCATGTTCAGTGCATATCCGGCAAACTAACGTTTACTAAAGGTTTGCCGTCTCCGGCAAAATATACACTGCCTTACTAAATACTATTACTAGTAACTCCAGCTGACATGCTCATATCGGTCATACTAAAAAGCGTCAACACAGCGTCAACACACTCCAAAGCGTCAACACAGCGTCAACACAGCATCAACACATCCAAAATGCATTTAAAGTGACAAAAGCAGTATGTAACCCCTATAGTATGGTCAGAAACAAGATTTTGGCTTAAAATTAAAAGGTTAAACGTCTGAAAATTGCTATTTTCAGTTCAAGAAAATTGGCTCTCCGTGCCGCTCCGAAATCAGCTGCCATGTTGCCTCAGGGGCAGTGCGGACCATACCATTATGCTAAAGGGTGATAGCGTTGTACAATAAACCAACAGAGAGGGCGCGGCCGGCCAATACCAAAAGATGTCCATTTCAATAAAGTAAATGAAACATAAACACAACTCACAAAATAATGATCCACCACTCCGATCCTCAGTCCTCACAGATCTGGTATCCCTCTGTTGTTTATGACAAGATAATGTCATTACCTACACACCCCTACTTGAAATGGTGTAGTCCAATCTTTGTGCGAAGTCAAGATGGCGGACAACGGCCGTGCGAGTGAAAGGTCATTTTTTCGCATGAAAATACTATACTAATACGAAATGGAAACTCAAACCCATGGAAATTCTCTTTTATTCTATGCTTTACAATTATATACCATTTTTGTCAATTCAGAATGTGTTTTGGATGTATTGATGGTGTGTTGATGCTTCTGTCATGTGTTGACGCTGTGTTGACGCTTTTTAGTGCGACCCGCTCATATTCATTCACATGTATGAGCATGTCAGCTGGAGTTACTCAAGCTACTTTAATATGATTTTCTTGAAAAATTGACGGTCATGACGGTTGAAACCAAAATGAAACCAGGATTTAAAGTGTAAACACAGTCGCAGGCCTAATTAATAATTTCAAGAAGTGTTAACAAATATTGAAAGAACAAATTAATTGAGTTCATGATGATTGGAACTAGTACTGTAGGCCTGCTTTGATTAAAATTAATGCAAACTTAAAGAAGTTTGTTTTGGAAAGAAATCATGTTAATAATTCGAATCAAAGGAATAAGCCTAGTGAAATAATTGTCGTGCAGCCATCATTTAGGGTCCATCGATGTAAGAAATTGGATAATTGATTTAGGCCTATCATTAAACTAATTTAAACTAAGTTAATTTCTTGCCGGCCAGGCAAACAAAATGTGCATTGGGCATGTTGGGCCGACACGCATACATGTTAAAAAAAAAATGTAATCCTTTATGTCTGTTTGTCTTACAAGGGGTGTGAAATCTCAGCTTTAAAGCTGATTTCAGTTTTTTGTTTGTTTTGGATTTCATTGTTTTTTCTATCACGTGCTGTGTACAAAAAGTATAGGAGATTTCCAAAGTTCAGCTTTTTTTACACCTTTTTCAGCTGTTTTCAGCTATTTTTATCAGTGGTCACTTACACCCCTGCTTACCAAACATGCCTCACAACAATTTTCTCATGTCAAAAACGATAACATTTTTGCCGTCCATATTTTTACTTTTGTTCCAATACAATTGATGAATTCTGTAAGAAACATCTGTTTTTGGACAACACCGGCCAGAAAGCTTTGTATCCTTTGCGGTTTAGGTGAAAGCACTTGTACATGCGGCATGTATGCGAAATAATGATAGAAGCTGTTATGATATTAAATAGGTGATGGTGGAAGAACCTGGAACAGTCTACAGCTCGGCTCGGCATAACTCCACAGTTAAACCCACTGTTCTGTATTTGTTTTTCTTTTTTTAACAGGGAATCGGTGAGCCAAGCATCTACCATGCACTGATAGTCATCTTCTTAGAGTTCTTTGCATGGGGACTCCTCACCAATCCAATGCTTACGGTAAGTATTACTAGCCAAGACTAGGCTAAACAAAAATAGATCTGCTTCCGATTACATGACATTTGAAAATAGGGTAGGTAGGTAGGGAATTTAGAAATTTGTTTTGTGTACGATCATGTAGAGGCGTCTGCGTGTAGTCAAGGATAAAAGGTAGAAATTGATGGTTTAGGCCCCCCAAAAAAATGTCTCCGGTTTCTGGTATGCGCGCGTGTTGCCGTAGCCATGCACGTCGGCAAAATGAAAAAGGTTTTTTTCAATACAAGATGATGTCTCAAAACCGCCAAACTCACTGGTTTGACTGGAATCCTGCTGCTGCACAATTTTAACGTGTTTTTAGATGGGGTTATGATCGAGAATAAGCTTTATGTGGCTTCTCTGGACTCCCATATATTTGCACTAAGTTTAGTCGGGCACCATTTGCAGTCATCAGCCGACATTTGAAGCCAAAAAAAAAAAAAAAACAGGAAAAAAAAAAAAAAAGCCGCGTCACCGCACCACTTTTGGGGCAAGCTGCATACCAGAAACCGGAGACTTTTTTTTTTTTGGTGTTTTTTTTCTCATATTTCCGATAAAACAATTAGGTAGGGGCTGTCAGAATAGGGTAGGTAGGGAAACCAGAAGCAGAACTCTTTTTCTTGGCCTTACCCTCGGCTTCTGACTGAGGCGTTGTTCTATGCAGAAAAACATACAAAAGAGATTCAGGCTTTAATCACTCTTTAGCCAAAATTTTCATGAGGTAAAGACAAGGTCCTCACTACGTAATTCACCAGCCAAATTTTGAAGTCTCAATTCATTTTTCAGGGAGACTTTCCTTCAACATTTTTGCACCTAAGAGTGAAGCCAAGAGATTATTACTATATGTGTGCATGAAACATCTATATACTCTGTTTAAGACTGGTTGGAGTCTGGATGCTGATATTCGGCTCGGGTAATTATCAGCATCCAGACTCCAACCGGTCTTAATCATAAAGTGTTTAATACCGACCAAGCACATCCCATTCATAAATCTCTTTGCGGTCAAAAAAATAAACGTTTCGGTCCAAAAGTGGAAACAAGTCAAAAGTAAAACATTTCCAACGATTTTGTTGGTAATTTCCCTTCAACAATTTCACTTCATGTTTTTCAAAACACCCCTCTAGCTATACAATGGAGTGTCCGGCTCGTGAGTAAGTCGTAAACAACTCCTCTTATGGAGATTGGTGCGCACGTTGCGCAGAATGCAGCTGTGGCGGTGCGTTGTGAATTTGTCAAAAGAAGCCTTTTGCTATCGTGTGAGGTTACATTTGTATGAATGTTGCACAGTTCACGTACATGCAGAAAACTATGGGTTCCAATGAATAATAGGATAACATAAGCTAAGACAATGTACACAGAAACCTTCATGCAAAGATCCCCAAAACATGAGTCACCTGGAGATCACCCCATATGAGTTCACAGCCCGACCATGAACGCTCTGACAACTAGCAGGAAACACTGGGTCGATCATGTCGATAGGTTACTTCCTGCCCAGGTCAGCCTAGTAAACCACACGTAGGGCAGGATTTAGCCATTTGGGGACTGTAGGTGGCAGTAGACAGGTTTTTCAATGTTTTTCCCCCGAAATATTGGTTTGGGCTGTGGCTAGTGTTTCTGCCCTCCAACCCTAACCCCACCTAAAGCTACAAAATTAGTAACCTCTAGTATGTAGTATTTTAGCATGTGACGCATTCAAGCTAAATGAGTTCTTTGTCAGGAAATTTCATTTGGAAATTCAGGCCAAAATACAATAGGGCCACTTCATCACATCTCTTTGTGTTCCGACTTTCATAATTTTTTTTAACTAAAGATGTCATCAGCATGCAGTTTTCACAGCAGTAATGCTGTTCAACCAACGACTCATTTAGCTTGATTGCATCACATATAAGTGGGCACGGCACTCATAGTATTTTCTAGTATTTGGTGCCAGCATTCATAATTTTTCTTCGTATTTTTTAGTATGTGGTACTTTTACCCCAAATGAACTCTTAGGGGGTTAGGGTTAATTAATTACTTAGCCTTGACATCTTTTGTTCTCTTCAAAATTTAATCAAAATTTTACCCCTCTGAGTGTTATTATCCAAAAACAACCTGCTGGGGCCAATTTCACGGCGCTGCTAAGCACAAAAATTTGATTAGCACAAAAAAAGTCTGGCTTATAAAAGCAGGTTATCAGCCAAAAATCCATGTGATTTTCATGCTAAGCAAACGACAGCTGAATACTAATCACAAGCAATAAACATCACTTGGAGTGTTGGCTGGTAACCTGCTTTTATCAGCCAGACTTTTTTTTGTGTTAAGCAAATTTTTGTGCTTAGAGGCGCCGTTAGAAAGAGAAATACCATTTTGTTGTTGTTGATCATTTGCCAAAACGATAGAAAAACAAATGCGTACATTTATTGTGAGACAAATGCCCACAGGTTCTGATGGACTTCCAAAAATAGCTGTAAAAGAACACCAAGTAAAGCATGTACATGTACATGGAAGCAATGTGTGGCAATTTTTCTCAATTCTTTTGCAGGTGCTAGACGACACATTCAAAGAACACACCTTTCTGATGAATGGACTGGTCCAGGGGGTTAAGGTTAGTATGTGTGCGTGTACAAACACTGCCTAGTGGGGTACCGGAACAATGGGAGGTACCCCACAAGGAATACCCACCGACTTGCGGGGTACCGTTTTGGTACCCCACAAGTTTTTCACGAAATAGATATATGGATTTTACTCAAAAAGTAGGAATTTCCAAGGTGGGTTGATCCGTCGCAAATGGAAGAGTTTTAGAAAAGGGATGTTAAGTCTGAATTTCAGCCCAGGAAATAAACTGTGGTTAAAATAAGAGCATTTTGACATAAGTGTGCGACGTTGCAAAATTTTAGTACACGAGAACAAAGGAAATACCCCACTTCTATGCCTATGTAAGCGTGCGTGTGTGTGTGGGTGTGTTTATTTCATTACACAAGGCAAACAAGGATTAACATCTGTTGGCAAATAGGAAAAAAGTGTAGTAATTAATACTTGCTGCTTGTTGTTTCAAAGACTACCTGCAAATCGACATGTTTTTAACGTGTCGTTAAGAGCAATGTAACGGAACAGTCAGTAGAGTTTTTCTAAAACACAACTACCAGTTGGTTGATGTATTTGTGCATATTGGCTGGGTCACTTTGTTTTAAATCAATTGGTTTTTTTTTATCTGAATGATATACAGCCTTTTTTTCATTTAATTGGCATTAAACTGTCAAGATTTAGCAGAATGATGAGTTTCAAGTCAAAAACTTGTACATGTTTATTCTACAAAGTTGTCAAAAATCATTTTCATAAAGTTGAAGTGATGTCACATGTCATTTTATGCACATTTTAAGTCTATTTATTTTTAAGTCTGTAACGTGACGTTTATTCAGTCATGGAATAATTTGAAAAATGACCAAACCAAATACGTATAAAGATTGGAAATACTTAAAAATAAAATATGACTTTTGATCTATGATTGACGAGCTACTTTGCTCAACAGTTGTGAATTCCAGATGAATGTCATATTTCCAGTAACTTTAATTTCATGTTTTTGTGCTATTTTTGTCTTCTTTCAGGGTATTTTATCTTTCTTGAGTGCGCCTTTACTGGGAGCTCTGTCCGATGTGTGGGGGCGCAAATCCTTCCTACTGCTCACCGTGTTCTTCACCTGCATGCCCATACCCCTCATGAGAGTCAGTGCGTGGTGAGTGTACAGTCATTTGCAGTGTTACAGTCAAAGATTTTCGGAGTCCTAAAATATACTGAAATTAACCCCTAACCCTGCCAGATGCAACACAGTGAATCGGGTGTAATACATGTAAGTCTGTGGGACATTGTTGGATTGAGCCATCAACACTAAGGGAATAAATGGGTGCTCGAGAGGTTTTAATTACTCTGTTTAAGACCGCTTAGAGTCTTGGTGCTGATATCAGCACCCAGACTCTAAGCGGTCTTAAACAGAGTGATAAATACCGACCGAGCACACATTTATTCCCATTCATAAATACCTTTTCGGTCAAAAAAATATAATATTTTGGTCAAAAAATCACGATTTTGTTCAACAAGTTCACTTCATGCTTTTTGAAACATCCCTCTAGCTAAATAATGGTAACTAGGTAAACAACCCTTTTATGGAGATTGACGCGCGCGCGTGGCACGTTCTGTGCGATGTCGCGCAGAACGCACCTGGGGCATTGCGTTTTGAATTTAGAACTATAAAATTCTGACTCACTGGTAGTGTTGCGCATGCCTACATGAGGATTGTGAACGTTCATCCAATAAAACGGCAAGAGGCACTGGATTTTAGGAGTCCACATTTTATGTGACACTGGAAAAGTGTTTAAGACCAGCTAGCCATGTCTTTATCATCCGTTTAAGACCGGCCACGTGACGGGCTCTCGACCAATAGGAATGGCTAAACTGTCTGAGGTATTTATGAATAGTGCATAAACGGCCAATTCTGAAACAATGAGAGCTAGTCCCATGGAACAATGCCACAGTTGTATCCTGCTCCATTTGGTGACCACACTCCACAGACTCTGAGGCAGTTTAGCCTTGAGACTTTTGACCCAATGGATCTTTGCTACACTGGGCAGGCTTGTCATTTTGACTAGTGCTGCATGTTGCTGCGTTAAGCAGGGTTTCTAGCCAAAATAGCCTAAGGGGTTTGGGCTAAAAGATGTTCAACACCAATCAAGTTGTGCTGAGGATTTTGAAAGATTAGTTATATGAGTGATTGGACACACAGCTGACACAGATATGCAATGAAATATACAAATATGCAGCGTGCCGGCCCAAATTTTCACTCTGAATAGGCAAGCCAGCATGTACTTCAGTTTGTCACAGAACCCATTGCGTGTATGTTATGTTTTTCAATTTAAAAAACTCCTCTTTGCATCCAACATCGACTTTAATTCTGACATCTTCGCTTGAGTGCAGGCGTCATCAGCAGTGCTCTTTTGAATGTCTCTCCCTGGGTTGTTTTTTTTTTTTTTTAACGGATAAACCCAAATAATTAGGCCCAAATACAATCTAGGACACACTTGAAAAAAAACCACAATAAGATAATGAAATACAAAGAATTAATGTCCAAGGAAATCAATAACATGAACATGTGTACATCATGGTTGAGAAAAGACAATATCAATATTTAAGGAAATGATGAACCGTGGTACATAAGTTGTTGCTGCTGCCTTTGTGTGGCTCCCCAACTCTCCCTTCATGAATGTTGAGGGGTGGGTATGGAGGAATTTCTCATGACGTCACAGGTCAGTGGTCACCCACACACCTGCCATATTGGACGTTTACGGTTGCAGGCTAGAAAATAAAGTGCCATAGACCCTAGTGATGAATACGCCCACTTCCGAAATTCAGGAAAAATATTCACAACTCTCTAGTCCAAGGTGTTTGAGACACACATCAAAGTAAAGCTTATTTCAACATCTTTCATTTTCTCTTCATTTTTTGGAGGGTTTAACCAATGACTTTTTGGAGAAGATTTCATCCAAAGATGATCAGTACAATTAATCATAATGCAATGTACATGTACTGTACGATCAATCGATCCGGCACTGTGCTAGATGTCCAAAATGGCAGATCTTTCACCATTCACATGATGAGGTTACGTGCAAAATCTCAATTTGTGCACAGAATTCATTGAGCTTGTGTTTCCAACGTCATTGACCTGAAATCTCAAAAACTAGAACCTGATGCCAAAGTAAAATCCTCCAATTGGCCTCATGGAAAAATAGCATATAGCCTCAATTATGCAAATTCCTCCGTTATTTCTTGAATATGGTCCATGGACGGGTGACCACTGCCTGAATCCTGCAAAATCCTCCGGCTATGAATTGAAATCAAGGTTTTGTTCAAAGAATAAGTTTGAATTTATATAATTTTATTTTTTTAAAGTTTACCAAATAAAACACACTCTTGCTGGATTCTTGTCATATTTGCAGGTGGTTCTTTGCCATGCTGTCAGTCTCAGGTACGTTTGCCGTCACCTTCTCCATCATCTTTGCTTACGTGGCTGACATCACAGACGAGTCGGAGAGAAGCTCAGCCTACGGTCTGGTGAGTTGCTGGTCTCAGCTCGAAAAATATTGAAACTGGTCGTCTGTGAAAGGCTTTTTCCCCAGGAACTACTGAACATTGTTTTGATCTATTTTTGGAAGAACTCTAAAGATTATTCCTTACTTAATTTGATGATTCAGAGCATTATGTAGTATGAACATATCCACGCCACGCAAGGCTACATGTTAACTTAATTGCAGAGACCTTGACACCAAAACATATCCCACGTTTAGCAGTGATCTGACTTCAAATTTAGCCTCTCCTTCACAATCACATTCAACTGAACCATTCCTAAGGGTTAAACTCCTCTCATAAAAAAAGTTGAGGTATTGGAGAGAATATCAGAGAATCCTTGAACTTCTGATCCCCAGATCTTTCCGAATTCTTGCACTATGTGTTTTTTTGTCCTTTTAAAATATACTCCACTTTGCGGCTTTGTATCCACCAGGTCTCGGCCACGTTTGCGGCAAGCCTCATCACCAGCCCGGCGCTGGGCACCTACCTGGGCAACGTCTACGGCGACAACGTTGTGGTGTTCCTAGCCACGGCGGTGGCGCTGTGCGACGTGCTGTTCATCCTGGTAGCCGTGCCGGAGTCGCTGCCGGAGAAGGTGCGGCCGGCGTCCTGGGGCGCCGCCATCTCGTGGGAACAAGCAGATCCATTCAATGTGAGTAGATTGTGGTAAACCCTTCCCCCTCCCCCTCCCCCTTTGACACCCCTCCCCCCCCCCCCTTTTGAGGGTGTGAGAGGAACATAGCTTCACAATTACGTGATGCCATTTATCCCAAATGTTGGCTTTGTCTGTGGATTGTACTTTTTCTGTTAACTTCAAGAATATTATTAGAAAGCTTTTATTTCAAAATATGGAATAAAACTTTGATTACAATTTAACGTTTTTCAAACAGAACTTAGACCTACATGTATATTGGAAGACAGTCCGCTTAGTAAGGAGCCTAATATCTTCTAACACTTAAGATGTATCCCCTCCCCCTATAAAACGGGAACACCTCAGAATTTATTTGAATTTATTGAAATCCCGTACTGATGTGACTGCATTTCAAACAATGCAGTCACATCAGTACGCGATTTCAATAAAGTTGTTGAACCATGGAACCGTGGTCAGAGTGTTTTTTAGGCTGTCTTCTTCGCCAGGGCTTTTCTCCAAAATAATTTAATGGATATACATGAAACTTTCACCAAATATGTCCAAAATACCAGCCTATAACATATGTCATTTGCACTTGTTTTGATAATTGCTACATATTTTTTAATATCTTCTTTAATTTGCATCCTGATCATTCTGACTTACCCGTACAGTTACAATGTAATATCTTTAATATTTTAAATGTCTGAATGATCTACAATACCCCTCAATCTCTTTCCTATATTGTTTCTTTTCTCCACAGTCATTGCGTAAAGTAGGTCAAGATTTTACGGTACTGATGTTGTGTATAGCAGTCTTCTTGTCATATCTACCTGAGGCAGGCCAGTACTCCTGTATATTCCTCTACCTTAGAATAGTAAGTTCATAATAAAAAAAATAATTTTATTTAGCCCGCATTTAACCTACGCTACTCGACCCTTCAAATCACCCAATTTGGAATCTGAGCTGATTCTTGCATTGTACTTTAAAGGGAATATACAACATTTGCTTTTGCTGTAATTTTCAGAAATTTATGGATTTGGGGTAACAAATATTGTTGCACTGACTTGTTTGAAGTTGTGGAAAAACAAAGAAAAAGAATCATTTTCTTGTAGTCTGGTTCCCTGACCCCACTTAAGATGAAACGGAGCAAATATGATAAATTGGGAGCAGTATGGAAAAAAAAAAAGTAATGCTGGTTGGCTGACCAGCGTTGGAAATTGATGCCAAAATACCGCTTTTCTTATAATTGTCAGCACACCAAGTGCCATGATTTTATAGGATGCATTAGACTGTCATTCACCAACAGTTCAGAAGGTATTTCATGATAATTTGGTAGTTTTGTTGTTTGCAAGTTGTGTATATTCCATTTAAGATACAACACCACGCCTTAGTTTCAGCCCCACAATTTACCACAGATGTGGCATGTTGCATTGTCAAGAGTAAAGATTAAAAAAAAAAGTGTGCTGTTCAAAAGGCCTGTTGCTTTATACATTTTGTTTCTCGTTGCCCAGGTTGGTCAATTCACTGAGCAGCAAGTCCCAGCCTACATAGCCGTGGTAGGGGTGCTGTCGGTACTAACACAGGTAAGAACACACCGTCGTTTTTTGCTTTGCTTCCGAGGATTGGCTTTGTGTTTTCCTTTGTTCCCTGATCTAAATCTTTCCCATAGACTAAGCGCACAAACCTGCATTCGAGGACAATAGGCACCATCGTTCGAGGATAAAAGGCCCCTTTGTGCTCCTTTTGTTGTCTGTCCTCGAGCGTAATACAATACAGGAACATACACCCTCCAAGTAAGTTTTTTTTCGGGGAAATTGGGGGATGGGGGGGGGGGGGGGCAAAGTGCCAATCACAATCTCAATCACAGGACATCCAGTCTCAAGTCCAGTGAGAAACTCCTCAGATGAGTAGTGTCCAAGGCATTCCTTTGTCACTGTTCATCCTGTGGTATTTGTGACTTGAAGTGCGATTTGCCTTGTGATTCAAGGTACCGTCAATCAATTGTAATTTGTGCATTATGTTCGTTTGAAGCAACAAAAGTGCTCAAAAACAACTAACCTGATGAAGTTTCATCTCAGTGAATGCTGTACATGTGTATTCCTAGAAAACAATATTCTCGGATCTTGATTTCAAATCAACAGCTGCTAAGTCATGTTTTGAATTGGGCCTGAATTCAGTGTCCGAGACAAGTTCTCACTGAGCCAATTACAGCTACGCGATGTCGCGCATTGAACCGAAGAATTATAGCAACCGCACGTGCGTGTGTGTCGTGTCAACGCTTGCGCGCGCTTCGCCGAATAATAAACGAAATACTTCGGAAATTTCCAGTGATGCGTCTTCTTTATACGCATCGTTGGAAAGCCTTTCTTTTATTGATTTCTTCAAAAGGACAGCTTGCCAGAAAGAATAATTTCACAGGGACCTTACTCCCCTTACTATCTTTCAACCAAGTATGCTTTTTAACAATAATTACATCAGTTACTTTTTGGATAGCTGCAAATGATGGAATGTAGCTTTGATTGATTGACTTGCGATTGACTTGTGATTTGCCTTGTGTCTTGACTTGTGACTTGACTTGTGACTCGTGATTTGAGCTGTGATTTGACTTGCGATTGACTTGTGATTTGACTTGTAATTGAGTTATGAATTGATTTGTGATTGACTTGTGATTGACTTGTGACTGACTTCAATACAACTTTGTTTTCTTTCCAATGACAGAATTTAAAACAATGTGCCATTTGAACACATCATAATAACCTAATGCTACTTATTCTCTGCTTTGTTGTATTTATTTATTTATTTTTGTTTTGCATTATCAGACGATATTATTAGGAATTTTAATACGCACCATGGGCCACAAGCACACCATCATGCTAGCGTTGGTCTGCGAGATGTTGGAGTTGATGTGGTACGGGTTCGCATCCCACCAATGGATGATGTGGGTGGCTGGCATCATTGCCTCCGTCTGCAGCATCAACTATCCTGCCATCAGTGCACTGGTCAGCAGGAGTTCATCCGCGGATAAGCAAGGTAAAAAAAAAAATCAATCTCCAACAGTCAAAGCATAGCTTTATCAGGTTTCATAACAATCACAGCCAGTCAATCCTGCTTTATGAAGGCAGGGAGCACCCAAGTGTGAAAAACAGTCACTTGATGTATTTTGACTGCTAGGCTGGCCTTGTTGAAATTGCCAGCCAGAGAGGGAGGAATAATGGTTTAGCACCGAGAAGAAACATTGCTGCTGATTGGAAATTTGTCTATTAACCCCAACAGAACTCAACCCATCAAACCCCAACAGCATGTATTGTTGGAATCTGTCTGGATGGGTACAGTACCCCTAAACTGACAGTCTTTTACATTGGGTTAGCACACCTCCAGAATCTAAGTCAGAAATATGTGTATACAGTTTCCCATATGGTGATGGAATTTGCCAGGATGGGTATGGTTCCTAGTAAATCATGCGAGGGAGTTAATTAACCCTAACCACCCTCGGCATTTTTGCTAGGATGTAACCTCAATCCTGCACAATCCTCCAACTGTCTCCATGTACAAATTGCATACAGCCTCAATCCTGCTCAATGGTCCGTTATTTCTTGAGTGTTGTCCTTGGAGGGGTGACCACTGCATCAATCCTGCAAAAACCTCCAGCAATCACTGTCAATATGTTGAGGCAGAGCCAGCGACATCCTGGAGCAGTGTGGAGGATTCAAGTGTAAACTGAGCGTAAACAACACAAGGTCCGGCCCGAGACATTGACACAGTGCATCCTGCAAAATCAGCCACGCATTTGTGCCATGTAGCCTCAATCCTGCAAAATCCTCCATTTTGCAAAGAGGATTTTGGAAGGTTAGGGTTCTTGTCTTGTTTAGTCCTGCTTAATACTTAGTAGCACTTAAGGCCCCCCCCAAAAAAGTTTCCGGTTTCTGGTATGGAGCTTGCCCAAAAAGTGGTGCGGCGACGCGTTTTTTCTTTTTTTACCTGTTTTTTTTTGCTTCAAATGTCGGCTGATGACTGCAAATGGTGCCCGACTAAACTTAGTGCAAATATATGGGAGTCCAGATAGGCCACATAAAGCTTATTCTCGATCATAACCCCATATTAAAACACGTTAAAATTGTGCAGCAGCAGAATTCCTGTCAAACCAGTGACTTTGGCGGTTTTGAGACATCATCTTTCATTGAAAAAAAAACTTTTTCATTTTGCCGACGCTCATGGCTACAGCGACGCGAACGCATACCAGAAACCGGAGACTTTTTTTTTTTGGCCTAAGATAAAACAGGGAGGGAACTTTAATGTTTAGAGTTTTAAAGAGGAACATCGAACCCACACCCATGTGGTGCTCTTGACGAGAATCAGTGCAGAGCCATTGGAAATCAAGATTTAAAGAAAACAAAAAAATGATGTGTTTTAAGTTGTTAACATTTCATTACCGCTGTAATTACTTGATTTCACTCAACAGGTGTTGTGCAGGGAATGATCACCGGCATCCGCGGGCTGTGCAATGGTCTGGGTCCCTGTCTCTTCGGGGTGATCTTTTACTTCTTTGATGTGAATCTGGACATCAAGAGCAAAGAGGACACCGGCAAGGGGAACGACACCGCACCAAACAGTGTAAGTGTCGGGTGACTGTGAAATTCAAAGATGTTTGTTTGCAATTCCAGCGTTATGGGAGAAAATGTAATGTCCGTGACAGAGCCAATTAACCATGATATCTAAATTAATGATTCATAGAAATGATCTTAAACTCCTAGTCTGTAACCTCCTTGACAATTACTAGATGGTGGATGTATAAGATTTGAAAAATACACTTTCAGGGTTATTCACTGAGCTCTTTAAGTCCAAAAAAAATTGGTATTTTTGTATCAATTTTTGGGAAAAAATTGTTTTTTTTTTAAATACTGCCCCTAAATTGCCATATTTAGTTAGTCCACATTTTGTTGACAATTGATTACACACCTTTGAACGGGTACAAGCCAGCTAGACTGGTTCCCTGACCGTACAATTCCCCGACGTCTATAAATTGCTTCGTTTCATCTGAAGTGGGGCCAGGGAACCAGATTACAGGAACATGATTGTTTTTCTCGGTTTTTCCGGCTTCTACAAACACAAACTTCAATCAAGTCAGTGTAACAATATTTGCTTTAAAAAACTAACCCCCCCCCCCAAATCCATCCATTTCTAAAAATTACAGCAAAAGCAAATGTTTATTCCCTTTTAAAGCTACAGGCCATCATTTGTAATTTGTGCATTTTGTTCGTTTGAAGCAACAAAAGAGTTCAAAATCTAATGAAGGATACTGAGCAACTACCTGATGAAGTTTCAGCTAAGCTTCAGCTGTACATTCCGAGAAAAAACAGCATTTTAAGATCTCAATTTCAAATCAAAAGTTACTGAATCATGTTTGGAATTGTTTTGAATTGCAGCTATACGCGACGTCGCGCACTGATCCGACGAATTATAACAACCACGCGCGCATGTGCGTCGTTCCAATACTTGTGCGCGCTGCGCTGAATAACAAAACGAACTACTAATTTAAATTTTCCTACGGTGCTTCTTAAGAATCACCGTTGAAAACGCCTTCTTTCGTTGATTACTTCCAAATGACAGCTTCCCAGAAAGAGTAATTTCACAGGGAGTTTAGTCCCCTTACTATCTTTCAACCAAGTTTGTTTTTCAACAATAATTACGCCAGTTACTTTTCGGATGGCTGCAAATGATGGACTATAGCTTTAAGAGGAGCAAGGGTTTCAAACTTTCTTTCGTCACTGTTTTCCTCCCGGCAGCATTCCGTCATGCCCGGCCCGCCGTTCGTCTTCGGTGCCTTCCTGGTCATCGTGGCCCTCCTCTTCGCCTACTTCATCCAGTCCTCCGATTCCGGCAGCAGATCGTCAGACCCCGCCCACTCCTCCCAACTCTCCCCGCGCAGCGTTGAGGGCAGCAAACCCCTCCTGGCCGACGTGGAGACGGGTCACGGCGGCAACGTCACGCTGGTGGACGAGGACAATCCTTGAAATGGTGCTCCTTAACAAGTCAGTTTATCATCAAAGACGATTTCTTATAAATCATAAGTAGGTCTGTGCACAGTACGCATATTTGACTGTTGTTTGTTTGGGAATATTAATATGCCTGTTGTTTGTTTGGGAATATTAATATGCCTGATGTTGTGTGTGGATTCAGTGTAAGAACAGTACATTGCACTGTATTGCCTACGTGCGAATGTCAGTGCACAGAGCATGCCCATTGCATACACTGGTTGCACGAGTCAACGTAGGCCATCCTCAGGTCGACCTTGCGACGACACAGACCAGTCGGTGACTGGCTTTTTCACGATCAAGCTGCGCCTGAGCTACAACCATCGGGAACATATCAGGCACCGATTTTTTTTGGCGACCTGAGTGTAACTGCGACAATATTAAAACGATCGGCATCAGCCGGCGATCTAAAAAATTCAACAGCCTTCAATGTAGCTTAATTAATTTACCCAAACTCCCTCTACATTTTTGCCTTGACTCACCTCAATCCTGCAAAATCCTCCAACAGCCTCAATGTAAAAATTGCATGCAGCCTCAATCCTCCAAAATCATCCGTTATTTCTTGAATGTGGTCCTTGGAGGGGTGACCGCTGTCTCAAGCTTGCAAAATCCTCCAGCAATCACTGTCAGTATGTTGAGGCAGAGCCAGCGACATCCTGGAGCAGTGCGGAGGATTTATAATCTAGGCCTAAATTTATGCCCTGAGCATAAACAACACAAGGTCTGGCCCAAGACCTTGACACAGTGCAACCTCCAAAATCAGCTACATTTTTGCCATATAGCCTCAATCCTGCAAAATCCTCCATTTTGCGAGGAGGATTTTGGAGGATTTTGGAAAGTTAGGGTTAATGGACTAAAGCAAGGAGCAACAGGGAACCAGTCAAGAGCAGTATTCACTGCATGACATTTTGGTTGGTTACCGTTTCACGCTAAGCAAATACTTTTGTGCTAAACAAGTTTCTGTGATCAGTACCTCCATGAAATTGACCCCTGACCTTTCACCTGTGATCCGTGACCTTTTAAAGGCATATAGGATCATTTGCTATTGCACTCACTCACAAGGTAACCGAACAAATTATTATCAGAAAAACTATTTGGATTATTTGTACTGGTATTAAATATTCTGTGACATTATACCGTCTGGCTAGGAGAAATCAAGAAATGTAGTTTTCCAACGATCAGTCAGTTGACCAATCGCTGGAAATAAAGAGTTTCATTGTCAAAGTCGTATTTTCATGATCAAAAGGTTGTGCACGGTTTTTTTGCTTTTTTTCTCAAAAAGTGTTATATCCACTGAGCTGAAATTTTAATAGTTCAGGTTTTGAATATTCTTCGTTGGATTTTGAGTGGTGTTATTATTGGAAACGAACAAAATTCATGAACAGCAAATGATCCTATATGCTTATCAGAAACGGCACTGACTATTTGAAAATCATTATGTCAAACCAGGAATTGATTACAAAAAAAGTTTAAATAGTATGACTTGTTGAATTATGTGTATAAAAGTAAATGCATTGATGTTGTCCAGAGCTGGTGCTCTGAATAGGCAAAAGACTGAAATAATGAAAAGCTTTTAGCAACAAACTGCTAAATCATGTTTTTTGGGCTGGTTGACTGCTCTTGAAGTTTGGAAAAAGTTTTTACAGGGTGAGTAAAAAAAAACGAAACCCAAATGGCAGGACCAGTTTTTGATTGAAGTTTTGCCTGTAGCACTTTCAAAATCTAGGATATGAAAGCTCAATCAAAGAGCTTTCTTTTAGTACAAGAATCATTCAAATCACCCATGTACTTTTCAAGTTACAGAATTTTGAACACAAACACCGTTTTAAAGTTCTGTCCACGGATCACAAAAAGGGTAAGTCTTCTTTCAGCAAATTGAAACAATTCACAAGCTAATAATGACCGGGCTTTCATATCCTAGATTTTGAAAGTGCCACAGGCAAAACTTCATTCAAAAATTGGTCCTGCCATTTGGGTTTCGTTTTTTTTGTACTCACCCTGTTTTAAAAATTATCAGAATTCTAAATACGCCATCTAGTGTTAATTACTTCTTGTCAAGATGAATTTGCCAAACAGGTTTCACTGCATGAAACATGAGGACATTCTGAAAATTTTCGTCAGGTGTGTACCTCCAGCTATTTAAAAAAAAAAAAGGAATTTCTTTTAATAATTATGCAAAAATCGTTAAGCGTTTCCAATTTATATTTAGGGAGACAAGGATGTCCTAATACGTTGTGGTTTATAAAATGATTGTTTTACTTTGTTTTATTTTTACAGAAAAATTATAACATCAAATTCGTTTCATTTTAATCTCGTCTGCATTTGAAAGTGTTAAGTTTCTGGAGGGTGTAACTAACTTGCTATTATTTTTATTTGTAATAATTTGATAGAGGTTTTCTTTTGAGGTGTTTGAACATTTAATTGGACTTTTTCATGCACCTATTCAAAGGTTCAATTTGTATCATTAATTTACATTCGTTACAATGGTCTTATTTTGGATGCAGTTTTAAAATGGGCAGAATTTTTTTCAGTCAAAATTTCCTGCGACACTCTGGAAATCTAGCCAAATGGGGAAAAGAGTCCCAATGACAATCACATTTGTTTTGAGTTGCGACCCCAAAACCCTGGTTATGGGTCTGGTCGCCATTACCAGTGACCAGGCCCATAAGTGGTTTTAAACCAGACGTTTCAAAGTACTCCACCACACAACTTTTCCCATTCATAAATACCTTTTTGGTCAAAAACTTCACAAAATGTCAAAAAAATGACAAAATTCCGAGGATATATTACTCTATTCATATTAAGGTGGAAGTTGCGTCGGGGTGATGTAAATGAATATTAGGTTTTGCCCTTCACCGACGTACAATTGCAGTACCCGCTGCTAAATATACATCAGATTCGAACCAGCCAACCGATCCCGCAAGTTCGGTGGTCAAGTGGTAAGACGTCTGCACTAGAAAGCAGGAGGTCGTGGGTTCGAGTCCCACCCAAGTGATTTTGTCCACTCTCACTCGGGAGGTAACACACTTGAGTATACAGTGTTTAAACGTCGGTGAAGGGCAAAACCTAATATTGATGTTTTACTCGATGTTCAGGCCATGTTCAACACCGCGTGTAGTCCGCGAACGCGTTGGCTCAATCACTCATTCTCCTTACACGGAGATCATATCAGTGTTTCTCAAGCACCCGGTGGTAGTAGGCGCGACGGTGCACACTGCGCGCATGTGATGCTGTGTGCAGCATCTCGCAGCCAGTTTTAAATATCGCTGATCGATGTTTAAAAGGCGGTTTAACTTATGACCAACCACGTGACACGTTCTCGACCAATAGGAATGGGTAAACTGTCTCGGGTATTTGTGAATAACCTTTTCAAATCATTTAATTAATAACCCTAAGCCCTTGGGTATATTTACTAGAAAGTATCCCGAATCCGCCAAAATCCATCAATTTTGCCATGCACAAAAAATGTGGTGGCCAGTGAGTCCATCAGAATCCACCAGTTAGCCGGGAGAAAATCTGTTGAGATCCTGAATCCATCAAAGTCCCCCAACTGCTCAATATGGAGGTATCTTGAATCCATCAAAAACCTGCAGTACCGCTAGGCTTCATGTCCTGAATCCATAAAAAAACCCAACTTTTTCGATATGGAGGTATCCTGAATCCGCCAAAATCCCCCGAAACAGGGGTGTGGATTTTGGTGGATTTTGATGGATTCAGGTACGTTAGGGTTAAAGTTCCTAGATTTCAAAACGTGTTGGAAGATCATCGCATTGTTACATGTGCTGTGCCACATTCTTGTACTATTTTTTTTTTTGACGGTAAAAAAAATTATAGTTAATCCTGCCTTGCCAATTGTGTGTAAATACATTGAGATTACAACCAAAGCATTATTGTACATATTTTGCCAAAAACAGAAATTTGAAAAAAAAAAGATTCCCTACAGCAAATCAGATCAAATTATAGATGCACACTTTTTCAAGTACCTTCTGTTTAAACAGCGGTAGTATTTCTGCTCGGGAACGTATCAGTGATTTTCTCGGATTAATTTCTTTCTTAAATCTCATGATAAAATCCATCAAAATCAGGAATAACTTTTAGTATGAATATCAGTGGTTAAAAAAAAAAAATATTAGTGACTTTATTCCTCATTTTGGTGGAGTCAGTCCTAAAGTTTCTTTGATGCAGTGAAGTGTTGCAGCATATGAACTTGCACTGAAGTGCTGTTTCCTTTTATTGTGCTCCCACAGTGTCTAAACAAATGTGACTGGCTCTGGCAAAAGCAGGCTTTTGGTGTAAGCATTAGAAAACGGGGGCTGTGTGTTGATGAGAATCTGTGGAGAATGATCTAGCATGTTTCCGCACGGAAACTGTATGTTTTCTTTAACAGAGAGTTACATGCTAATGTATTACGTGCACTTCTATCATGTACAGGAATGGGAGTGAAAGTGAAAGCACTTTGCACGGAAAGTGAAACTTGGCCACCGAGCTATTTTGGTGCCATGTTTGTCTCAGATGTATAAATCTGGAACTAGTCCAAAATTTGACGTTGCTAAAATCCACAAAAGAGTGTCAATTTCCGTTTCGGGTTGTAGTGTCAAAACAGTACCTTGTATTTAAGGAAATAGCTATTACTGATTTCAGTAATGACTGTTACTTTTTAATTCAGCCTTATCCTGCATTTTTATGCCAAATGGAGTAGTCCGTTTTATTATGTGTATGTAAAGAAAGAACGTTTGTAACAAAACCTGATCTGTAATGAAGGAATAAACTGAAGATGTGGATATAATGGAAGTACATGTGTGCAGAGTGCGTTCATGCGTTGGCTTCATTGAATTACACATTTGCTGCAATTTTGGTAATTCTTCGTTGTTTTCCTTATTGACTTTCCCAAGTTACCTACCACATGACAACAAATAACTGATACATCAAAAACAGAATTATTTTCATTTTCTTTTCTTTATTTCAGGTTCACCTCTAATCGTTTGGGTCAGAAATACATATGCATGTTGGTATTTCTAAATTATATAAGAATGGTTTTAAAGTACAAATGTAACTGTGCATAAAAATGCTTAGGCCAATACATTTTTGCGTATTAACGCTATAGTCCATCATTTGCAGCAATCCGAAAAGTAACTGGCGTAATTATTGTTGAAAAACATACTTGGTTGAAAGATAGTAAGTGGACTTAACTCCCTTTGAAATTATTCTTTCTGGCAAGCTGTCATTTTGAAGTAATCAACGAAAGAAGGCCTTTCCAACAGTGCGTCTTAAGACGCACCGTAGGAAAATTTAAATTAGTAGTTCGTTTTGTTATTCGGCGAAGCGCGCGTAAGCATTGGCACGACGCACACGCGGTTGCTATAATTCGTTGGATCAGTGCGCGACATTGCGTATAGCTCAATCGGCTCAGTGAGAACGCGTCTCGGATGCTGAATTCAGGCCAAAATTCAAAACATGATTCAGCAACTTTTGATTTGAAATTGAGATCCTAGAATGCTGTTTTTCTCGGAATATACAGCTGAAGCTGAGCTGAAACTTCATCAGGTTAGTTGTTCAGTATTCTTCATTACATTTTGAACACTTTTGTTGCTTCAAACGAACAAAATGCACAAATTACCAATGATGGACTATATCTTTAATGATAACACCCTAAAAATTATCCAAATAGGTAGGTAGGACAATTATTTTAGTTATAATTTTTGTTTGTCGGTCTATACTTGCTTTGTTTACTTTATGTATCTTTAACAGTATTCTGTTAAGTTATACCCTGTTTAATCATTTACACAAAAAAACTCGCATAGGGAAGACGTTAATTTTCAAAATATACTTGCTTTAAATTTTTTTGGCAAAATATGGCAAACAACAGTTTGAGGTTGGCGATTTGGCCGCAAAAAAAATCCAGGTAGGTCATGTTCCTGCAAACACTCATTGTTTTTGGTCTTGTTACATGACTTTCAAGTTATCATCCAGGGCGTTGAGGCGTTTTTCTATTTTAATCATCACATCAAAAGTTAGCACTGAATCCTTCAGTTTGGATGCTTATTTTAAATTTAAAACACTGACACCTTGCACCTTCAGCTTGATAAACACACCGATGTTCTCTGTGCACGAGATGACAAAGAAAGCATAGCCTGGTCTGTCCTCTGATCACATATTATTGCACTAGTTTGCATATACACCGGAGCTTTGTGTTCAACCAGGCTAGGCTTGCATATTCAGCAAGTCCCGCATACATTAACTACTGAACGGTCCATTAATTTCAATCTGTCTGCCTTTCTTTTCAACTGGTATCATGCTTGTTCACAGCTCAATTTGTGTATGCTTATAATAAAAATGGTCAGAAATGCCATATTGCTTGTCTTCAATTAAAAGTCTAGACTTTTGTAATGTCTATTTTAATCATAAATTGTTGGTGAAGTTGTCTCATCTGAAATGCACTTAAAATGTTTTGGCAAGAAAATGGTCCAAAATGTTCAGATATTGCACGTTTTATTTTTGGTTCATTTACAAAATTGTCACCAGACATAATATTGTTTAACCCTGTCTAATGTATAGGGTGAGTAAAAAAAAAAGCAAAACCCAAATGTCGGGACTTCTGTTTTTGTAAATTTCCGCATGTAGCACTTCCAACATCTAGGATATTAAAGCCCAACTTATAAGCTTTCTTTTGGTACAAGAATCATTCAAATCACTCTTGTACTTTTGAAGTTACGGAATTTCAAACACAACCACCGTTTTAAAGTTCTGTCCACGGATCACAAAAAAATGTGTGTTCTTTCAGCAAAACTAAACAATTCACACCCTATGCGATTTGTTTTCTTTTTGCTGAAAGACCACTAACCTTCTGCCGATCCGTGGACAGAACTCTAAAACGGTAGTTGTGTTTAAAATTCGTTAACTTCAAAAGTACATGAGTGATTTGAATTTTTTCTGTACTAAAAGAAAGCTTATGAATTGGGCTTTTATATCCTAGATTTTGAAAGTGCTACATGCAGAACTTCACTAAAACAATGGTCCCGACATTTGGGTTTTTTTTTTTTTTTTACTCACCCTGTAAAGCACACATATTACTTTCTTTGTTTTGGGAGTTAGAGTGATAACTATTTCACATTGTGTTATGCATACATGTACATGTCTTTATGGTCTAACTTCAGCTCACCATATTGCAAGAACAATTGGAGAAGGAAAACTGAAAACAAAACTCCACTTAAAAAGAAAATAAAACAACACACATGTATAATCTTAAAATTGCGAAAACTAAATTATCAAGGATTCAAACCAACCCAACCTTTCTTTTCAAAATCAGTTGTACAACAATGTAATTCTCTACAGATTTCAATGGATAGCACACATAATTTGTTCGGATATTACAACTTGTTTGGATATTACACATAATACTGTACAATAAATAAGTGTGATATTACAGCATTTAAGGGTCTTTTAAAATACTGTTGAATTTGTCAATGGAATTGCACAAGAAATATCAGTATTCCTGCTTACTAGGAACCATGACTTAACCTGAAAAAGAAAAAACATTTACAGCTGCTAAAGAACAAGACTGAATAACAGTCATTTTTAGATGATACTTCGAAAAAATTCCTACTTTTCTTCGGACATTTAAAGAAAAGTACTTTGGGAAAGAGTTTCCTATCTGGACATCACTTGACACCCTGTGCACAAACCCTATGAGACTGGTCTGAAAAATTCTAATTGTTTTTTTTTTCAGTCAATGATTCAATATTTTCCTGCTATATTTGACTTTTGTAGGTTATTGCTTTCTGATGGCTGATATGTCACTGCAGGGAAAAATTAGTGATGTCCATGTATGGAATTCTTCCTGTATATACCGTGTAATTTTTGAAGTGTTGCGTAGCAAAATCTTCACGCATGTATTTAGTCAAAGATCTTTAGCCTTAAGAAATAAGGGTTCATGGTGAAAATTCACAGATAGGATTTTTGGCAACTTATTTTGGCGACTACTACGTGCACAATTACCCCCCTCATTGCTGCAAAAAGAATGAGAAGACATACAAAACACCATTCTCAAAGTTCACCTGTGCTCATGTGAAGACATTACAAGTTCGACACTATCAGATGAAATGTGTTGGACTAGTGTGCGCATGCACGTAGACCTTCAATTTGCGACTTGCGTAACTGGGCAACATATTCCCTTCAAAGGTGTCTGCACCTTCAAAGGTGTCTGCACCAAGTCCATTGGTTTTCACACTCAAATAGGTCAAGACCACATGGGACTGCAGAGGATGTAATCCCGAAGTTTCTGAGGAAGAGGCAGCTTGCCAACCTTGTTGAGCGGAACGTGTCGCAGGATCTTGATCCGGCACAGACTCTGTAGAGATGATGCCTGTTGGAGACGCCAGATTCGGACGAACCCGTCCATGGATGCCGCGGCCAAGTGAGATGCATTGTGGGTAAAGGACAACCGGAGCACCGTGGGATAGAGCCCGGTTGCCGGCTGCCGTTTCATGGAGAAGTGTACGCACTGATCAGCTCCGTCCAAGACCAGCAGGGTATCCCCGTTCCTAGAGTCGAAGAGTCCAATCTTGGCCTCCGAGCAGGCCACGGCTAGGGTGTTACCCTCCTGGTTGTATTTCAAAGAATCAGGGCTCCCGAAGGAAGACCGAAGGCGTGCCTTCCAGACGTGAGTTCTCCTTTCAAGGTTGCACACCACAAGCGTGCGGTCATTTCTGCAAGCCGCTAGGACCTGGTGTCCGAACCGGGGGTCAAAGTCGAATGTGCGGGGGTTGGAAAGTCCGGACAGCTGCCCGCACACCCCGGGCAGGGCGGCACGGTACAGGGTCAGGCCACACTTCCTGGCCACGAAGAGCTCTCCCGAGGAGCTGCTGACTGCTATCATCTGACTGTCTGGGGAGAAGCGACACTCCAGCTGCTCGGTGTTGGCCCGGCCCTGCTGGTCACCTTGAAACTCCGGGAAGATGTCATGGCAATTGGCTTCCTTGTATGAGTAGAAGTACTGGATGGAGAAGACGTAGAGCTGGAAGCAGTGCCGCTGTTTTGTGATGGTAGCAATGAACATCTCGTCAGGTGACATTGCGCAGAAGTGGTAGATGCCATACCTTCAAAGACAAGTTCTAAGTTATTTATCAAACCAGAGAAGTGAACAATCCCTGCATTTTTAGCCTGCTTTATAACAGACCTACCTTCTACCACTATAACAAGCACCACCTTACAAAACATTTGGCCATAAAGGACATCCCCATGGTCTCCCAATTTTATAAATAATTGTACAAAGCATTTTCAAAACCACCATTGCAAATGACTGGTTTAAAGACCCAATCTTTTTTGCTAAGGTGATGTGCAACTGTACCCATCTTTGGTAACTGTCTTTTACACATTCCAACTGAGATCCAATTAAAATTTCCATCAGAATTTTCTCAATGTTGACAAACATGCTGTGACATTGGCGATGTGAACAATGGCCAATCCAAAGTTTCAATCTAATGTGTGTCTTGAACACTTTGTTGAGTTGTGAGTATTTTTCCTGAGTTTGAAGTCAAGTCCGTCACAAGTTCATCTGAAATCAGGTCACAAGTTTAATCACAAGTCAATTGAAAAGTATTAAAGCTATAGTCCATCATTTGCAGCCATCTGAAAAGTAACTGGCGTAATTATTGTTGAAAAACATACTTGGTTGAAAGATAGTAAGGGGACTAAACTCCCTGTGAAATTATTCTTTCTGGCAAGCTGTCATTTTGAAGTAATCAACGAAAGAAGGCCTTTCCTACGGTGCGTCTCGGACGCTGAATTCAGGCCCAATTCAAAACATGATTCAGCAACTTTTGATTTGAAATTGAGATCCTAGAATGCTGTTTTTCTCGGAATATACAGCTGAAGCTGAGCTGAAACTTCATCAGGTTAGTTGTTCAGTATCCTTCATTAGATTTTGCACACTTTTGTTGCTGCAAACGAACAAAATGCACAAATTACAAATGATGGACTATATCTTTAACAGGGATGAACAATTACAAAGGAACAGTTGCCAATCCAGGGCTTTGGATGGAACGTATGCCCTTCCCCCTGTGACCACATTTTGTCAAGGCCATTTTTCATTTGAGAGAGCCCTTCCCCCCCCCCCTCCCCCCCCCCCCCCCCCCCCCACCGGATCTGCCTTGGTCACACTTTATTTGAACATCTTTGACTTGACTTAGGACTGGCTTGACTTGTGATAGACTTTGTGATTGACTTCTGAAGACTTGTGATGAATTTGAGCATAACAGTTTTGAAGTGAGGGTTTTTAAGATTGGTGTGTTTTGCAAGTTATTGATCTGTCTGCAATCTGATGATAAATACTGTGCTATGTAGATGTTCAAAAGGGGGGAGGGTGTGAAAAAATACACAACCTTTGGCGTACCTGAAAAATACCTCTCGCTTGTAGAACTGTTTCACGTCGTTGATGTTGCGCATGATGATGCCGTTGGATTCCAAGTAACAGACGAAGCTGCCGTCGGGCGTCATCTGACAGTGAGGCTGATGCAGGCTGCTCCTGCGGTGGATCTCGGTCGCGCACCCTGCCAAGGAAGACACTGACGTAAGAGAACATGCAAGTCACATGGGTGTCGGGAGGACGGAGCTAAGGATAGAGTAGGTGGGGGGGGGGGGCATGGTGCCTCTTTCCTTTGGTTTGATGTATGAAAATCTGTAAAATTTCACTTTTAGAATATCTTAAATTTTTGTTCAGTGCCTGTCCAAAAATTCCTTTGACACTGTTCATTGTGACAAAAAAACCTTGAGTCAGTTTTGTTTCTTCTTGCTTAAAGCAAACGAAGTCGTGGAATTTGCAAGAAGTAAACAATTTATTTTAATTCCAAAAAAGAAAAAGGACTGAAAGACAGAAAAAAAAAAAAAGACCAGCAAACAAGCAAATAAAATATAGAAAAAAATCACAATGAATCTAAAATTTACTCCAACAATTCTGTCCATTCTTTATGACGAAACTGAGAGTGAAATGTTAATAACAATAATAATAATGTGTATTTATAAAGCACATTTATCCACCAGCATTGGTGCTACATTATTATTACCCTGCTCATTGGGCAAATGAAACATTCCAAAGACAATCTCAGCTCCCTGGGGAAGACAGCTTGATGCTGCCATTTTGGCACAAAGCAGCTAACATCAACCACAATAACCATCTCAGCCCTCACAGATACCCATTTACTCCTGGGTGGGGAGTGGCCATAGGTGATAAAGTGCCTTGCCTAAGTGCACACGCTCCCAGGGCTGGACTCGAACCCACAACCTGCAGAATTACCCACAGACCACAAATTCAATGCCCCAGACCACGAGGCCATGGCACTCCACAAGTCTTGACCCATCCAGATTCTTTAAGACCGTTTTTATTCTTACCACTGTTCTCTTTGCCCAAGTTCCAAACATTAATGACCCCGTTGGTGGTGCAGGGCGGCAGGTTGGGCGGTAACCTCTGACCCCCGAGGTCGTGCAGGGCCACGCAGGTCAGCAGCTTGGAGTCGTCGAAGGGTAAGAACTCGCAGTCCACCCACCACCTGACGGCCGGGAGGTGGCCGAAGTCACCGCAGGGCCGCAGGACACTGGTCAAATCCACTGCCTTGACCACGCGGCCGGACTGGTCCGAGCAAACCCGCTTGGGCTCGGAAGGGTAAGGCACCCAGTGTCTGGAGGGCAGTTCCCTTTTGCTCTTGTAGTGAGCTTGCTTCTTGCTTCTTGACATGGACCCACCCATCTCTGTATTTGAATCAGCCAGCTAGTTGCTGGCAACTTGACCAAGAGAAAATCTGGAATCCTCTGTTGCACTTTTGGTTTAGCTCTCCTGATATGGTGTACGTGACGCTCAACGCATTCACATCTTGACTGTCTGTTTCATGCTGGACTCAAGTCTCCATCCCTGCCATGAAAGAAAAAGCGGGCAAATTGTAATTAAACATATTTGATTTTCTCCTGATGACGAACAGAGCATACTGTTCGTAACGTCGAGTTAATCCAACTGGTTCTCTTCAGCACCACACATACTCACAAAAGAGATATTTCCACATGGTGTTACCGCAAACCTCTCACTTATTTTATTTGATTTTATTAGCAAAACTTATAATCTTGTCGTTCACATAATCACTGCCACAGACAATCACATTAATCCTTCAGTTGTGATGTGCTCATTACTTTACGAAATATTTTCAATGCTTTTGAAAAAAATTGACAAAAACAGATAACAAAAAGTGTATGGCATACATGTACAAGTAAACACACAGACAAGAAGGAAGTTTTTTGTCAGTTATTATGTTTCACTGTTTCATATTTGAAAAAAAAGGCACTGTTAATGCCATTTCATCTTCACACGAAAGCAAAAGTGAAGCAGATTTGTTTTTTGTTTTTTACTGATGACGTACTTGTACTTTCATTGTATTCGTTGATACCCTGGGAAATTACCTTGGCTTTCAAATTCAGGAGAAGCGTGTATCAGGCTTAAAACTGTGGCAGTTTGTTTTTCTAAAACTGTCCTTTATTTTTGCCTCTATTGAAATTTGTCAGTGTTTTATGGAAGAGTAAAACTTAAAGCCTACATTCTTGGCTGTTGAGGAAAAGTCATTTGTTCAGAGTTCCTAATTAATCCCAGATTGCCTTACCTAAAATTAGTGGCACAGAAATGATCTAGGATGTTGTGTACTATCTTGACTTTGATAAAAAATAAATAAATAACAGCAAAAAATAATAATAAATAAAAATCAAATTTTGATGAATTATTCAATCAATGTGGATTTTGAAAAACAAAGATGTGACTAACACTGCCCCTTTCACACAACACGGTATATATTGATTGTGTGTGTCCTGCCATTTCCTTTTTGCCATAATCCCTTTGTTTCATACCTTATCAAAACATTGATTAAAAGCAGTCAGCCCCCCCCCCACAAATTTGTAATTCCCTCAGGTACCCCTCCCCCTCCCCAATTAAAAAAATACTGAAATTTGCCCTTCGCCCAAAAAGTGTCTTTTTAAGACTAATTAAACCAAAAGAGGAATGTAGATAACTAGTTTTTAACTCAATGCTAATTCCCTTCACTGTACGGATTTATGAAATATGAAATATGAATATCTGGTGAGGTCTGGTTCCCTTCCAGTAATAATTCAAATTTCGAATTTACAGCAACTGCCTGGCCAGTCAGCCCATTAATCTTTGGGAAAATTGTTGTTGGGATCCATTTTTTGATGCCAAAATGCTGGTTTTCCTCCCCTGTCCCTCCCCCTTGGCACCCCCCCCCCCACCCTAAAAGTAAAAAAAATGCTGAGTGCCCCCCCCCCCCCCCCCCTGAAGAAATCCTGGCTATGCCACTATAGCCAGCACAATATGAGACAAAGGGGTACCCCCATGTCCCCATACCATATACACAGGCCTAGACTAGCCCCCCCCCCCAAGATATCTCAAAAGAATTCCTGAGATTCTAGTAATACAATGACCAACACAAAAGAGGGGGGGGGGGTTCCTTCTGTCCCATATCTTGCTAAATATGTCCGCCACTGTACCCAATACTTAGAATTGACCACAAGGAAATATGGACTCAGTCCAGTGTGGTCAGAAGATAAGACAAGCAGCTGTTATCTCCATGTGCACATGCAGGAAATATGCCGACAGCTGTCTGTGTAGCTCACTGGAGTTCTTTGTGTCTATTCTCTTGAGAATGTTCAGCCATCAACACAGCATCCACTTTTATAAATTTAAAATATAAGGAAAAATTAGAAGGCACTTTGTTGTTTCGGTTTCCCAACAATGGAATACTTAACTTTATCTGGTATTATCTACGAGGTAATGTTTTGGCTTCTAATTAAACAAAAGATTTTCAAAAGGAACATGCCTTTGAAGGTTATGGAAGGATACATGTTCGTCTTGATATTTTCAGAGACATGGTAAAAAAAATCACAAAGCATAAAACCATGAAACTAAAAGCACCTTTCTAGGCCCCCAAAGCGATACCTAAGTTCTGCAAATATTTATAAATGTATATGTTTTGAAATATATTATTAACCTAAATTATAAGAGAGTAATCAATTTTCTCTAGAACTATATTTGTAATTCATCATTGAAAAATGAATAAAAAAGACAAAGATGTGTACAATTTTAAGATGAGTGAGGGTGAAGAATCATATTATTTTGATTTTCAATGCATTTTCATTTTTAAGAATCCACCTAAATTTCCAAGCGCAGCCTAGTTAATTATGCTGGTAGTGCGATGTCGTGCGATATTTTTGTTAGAATCATTTGTAATACTTTCATGAATAAATATGACGCTGCTGCGGTATTTTAAATATTTGGGATTTCTCCTCATTTTAGAATCACGAGTCTTAAAAATATCTACAATAAAAAGCATGACTCACCTGAATGAATTCTTGAAAATCATGATATTCTTCGCTTTATAAAATCCCTGATGATTCTGTCGATGTCTAGCACAACAAAGCAGCTGCTAGCTCACTTTGCACAAGAGCGGGCGCACGAGCAGTACACGATTTACTAGTGGCACGCGCACACAAAGCCCATACAAGGAAATGACATTCACGATTTCTATGCACCTGGCACGCGCCTATGCGCTGATTCGACAGGGTGCTATTACGCATGTAAAATAATATGAATATTCATGATCTCTCATTTGAATATAGAATCACTGACCTATTTTTTTTTCCAGAATGAAAATATGCGGTGGTGGTCACATGACGCGCTGCACGTAAACCTCGTTTTCAATTAATAAACAACATGGCGACAGAACGGCCGTGTTCTCCGTAAACGCGTGTGCTTGTTGACATCGTCAAGGTGGGCAAATGCAGCTCTTTTTCTCCACAACGCTGCCAAAAACCACTTGGACTTATGATGGTAGATCAAGCGGTATTAGATAATTACCTTGATTGCGATGGCACTGAGCGTATTCCCCGGCACTGGTCGCAAGATGTCGACCAAATGGACTTCTTGTTGGACGAAGACACCCACCCGTTCCTGCCGCACCGGGTGGACTCGGCCGACATTATCTATCAGCCGCGCAAGAAAAAGGCGAAAATGGTCGGCAAATATCTCTTCGGTGACGTCCTCGGAGAGGGCTCCTATGGGAAAGTTAAGGAGGTCTTGGATTCAGAGACTCTCCGCCGGTTGGCCGTGAAAATCCTGAAGAAAAAGAAGCTCCGGAGGATCCCAAACGGCGAGCAGAACGTGCAAAGGTACGGTAAAGAAGAATGGGCAGGGTCGGTCGGATGACAGTGCGCTGCGCACGGCGGTCCGCGGGCATGACGGACCGTTCACCCCGCACGTAGACACACTGGCCCGCGCTGTTTCTGTCATTAGTGGAGTTCCTTGCGAGTGAAAATTTATCAAAAAGCTAGGTCCTAGTCCTTGTACTATGTATTTGCCAGATTGTAGTACAAGCATGCCAGATTGTAACAAACCCTACATGCATGACTTGACGGCTACATTTTGTCTTAAATCATGTAAATTATTAAATAATGATAGACATAGTGAGAGGCAGGACAATTTTGGCAGTGCTTATAATTTATGTGTTTACCAGTTTCAATCGAAATGTGAAAGCCCTAAAAAAGAGTACAAAATCACGCTCATAATGCTTTTTCTACTACATGGGTTTCTAATTTGGGACAACTCAATTGTAACAAATTTTGGGGGAAGATGACCTTTAGTTTTGGTTGGAGAAACATTTCCAATTTAGCGTACTTTTGGTAAATTTATGAATATGAATTACATAGACCTAATAATATTATTTGAAAGTTTCACAGTTTCATTGATTCTAATGCACAATATCTGCCGACCAATTTTCCTTATTCTTAATTGATTGATATTTTGGAAAGAATGTTTCATCCTGATGCCACTTTTTTTCATTATCTCAATGAAGGTTACTTATTGCAGACATGTTAAAAGACATGAATCTGGGACTGAGAAACATTTCCAATTTTGTTAGAAAATACTTTAAAAATGCACTCGACTCTCGACAGACTTTGTACACAACCAAAGAAGTGGCGTCAGGATACTACATTCTTTCAATTTTTTTAAGGGGGGGGGGGGGGAGGATAGAAAAAAAATAATCACATTTTTGTACAAATACTTTTCTGGAGCTGCTGAATAATGATTTCTTCCTGATTTTCCACAACAATTTAGTGTTTTCTTTTCAGATGAAACTTGTAAGGGCCTATCGCACAATGGAAAGGCCTGGTTTTTAATCTTTGAAAAATATGCATCCAGTACCTTCAAAATTGATACCGCACCATTGGGCCTCTATTGCTTATTAGCATACCCTGTTTACACTTTCTGGGATTTGTGTATAATTTGTATTTTTTATCAGATAAAGTGAGTGGGGTTTATCAGTTTTTGTGCAGGCAGGGTTTAATAATTAAACAGGTATTTTTATTTCATGAAACACTTCAGATAAATATATGTGTATGTGAGTTCCCATTTTGAATTCTTAACTTGCAAAAAGTCATATTGAATACCATATTTTCCAAGTCTTTAAGAATAAATTTGTGTTTACACACACAGAAGAGAACCATTTTAACCAGAACTCGGTTTTCCTCAAGTGTCAGGGCCTGAGTTCACGAGTGAGGCAAGGGTTGTCTGTAAAATAAAAGAGGAGGTGAGGGTGGCATGGGGGGGGGGGGGGGTTCCTTAAAATACACGCATATAATTCCAGTTGTGTTTAGTACAAACAATATTCAATTTAATAACACCTGTTTACTACTGTCATCTGCTGCGATTCACAGCTTATGTAATATTAATTGAACAGCTGGTATTTCACAAAGGCTCCACAGTAGATGATATTTAAATTGGGTCCGATACTGAACTTGAGATCCAAATGCAAGTTGGGACACGATAGTCATATTTGTGCCATACCTTTATGGCTAGTACAGAGGCATTTCTATAGGTTGCCGGAAAATCAACAACGTTTTATAATGGAAATGTAAAAAAAGGAATTAATAATACAGGAGTCTTATAATTATACAGTGCACATACGGTACACGTATCTACCAACAATTAGGTACTCAAGGCGCTGGTAATTATTTCTTTTTTAAAGAATTGCAGTAGAAAAAGCAAGATTACAAACAATATTTAGTCCGAAATTCAAAAACGGCATCCGGAAATTGGGCTCAAAGCTCCATATACCAGTCTTTTTGAAAGTAATCTCAACAACGTTTGGAATACCACTACAGCAAATTCACTCCAACATATTCATCATTTATTATCTCATCAAATGCTATTCTTTTCTGTTATTTCCATTCTGCGACCACATGCCTTCTTTAAGTTAAGACCAGATTGGTTCTGACCAAGATTTGATGGGTCATATACGCCCTAGGCTTTGACTCGACCCTCAATTACAAGCAAAATTACAAGCAAGAAAAAGTGAGAGGCCTGAGTGTATAGAATAATGACTTTAGGCATTGCAAGTCACATGAGTGTACTGTGTACCTTAATACCAACAAGAAAACTGAAACCCATACTTAAAGGGTCCGTGAAATGAATTTTTCTCAGGAACACATTTTGTGCAACTTTCTACTCCTCTTAAATGCATAAAACTATTTGACATCCCTTTTTTATGTATTTTATTGAAAAGGGCACTTCTTTAGACATTTCAAATATTCAATGCTCTCTGGACAACTGAGGGTGTTGTGATGTCATTTCAGGAGGATAATGTACAGTTAAGGGGTTTTCTGTTCAAATTACGAACTCAAACATTTGCTCATTGAAAACATCTGTGAGAAAAGTTTGCTCATTGGGTTACTGCCATGTACTGACACAACAACGAATCACCACAGAAAAGAAAATTTACGAAAGCAAAATATCCAGAATACAATGTACTGGCAACTTTTTGTGTTGTGTAATAGCTGTAGCATTGAAGTTTCTGCCAGAAATGACATCCCACTTTTGCTCATGAATATGGAAATTTGCATTAGCATAAAACCCAAAAGTGCACTGGGCAAAATAAAAATTAAAAACAAGGTTAATTGGTACACAAAGATTGCATTAGAAAAATTAAATTGGATGGGCCCTTTTAAATTTGACTATACAAAATAACATTGTGGAAAAGGCATCTTTTCTAAACCACTTGGCTAAGTTATGCATAAATGTGCAGGTAACACTTTAACTGTACTTTGTGGAATTGCATCATCCATCATGCATGGAAACATCTGTACAAAGGTGAATGTGTATGAGAGACACAGGTGCATAGATGTATGTATTGTATTTCACACAGATTGGTACCAGGGTGACCGTTTTAGCCGAATTTTGGCTAAATTTGACCGAATTTTTCTTAAAATAACGAGTTTGACAGAAAATTTGACAGAATGGATTTTTTGGGCAGATTTCTGGCAGAATTCACCAAAAATGGTTATTTAACAGAAAAACAGCAAATTTGAAAAAAAAGTGGTACATTTTGTTTAAAAAAGAAAAATGTTGCCAATCTATTCAAGCAAACCCTTACATAATGGGACAGGTTTTCCTGGTCTAGCTGCTGAGGTTCACTTGGAACCGGATTTTGCCTGAAATTTACACAACTTCATAACATCTTTATGTGACTACAGACATGACAGATTGTTTATAATGTAATTTGAACCTTAATTATGGCAGTACTACAACATCCGCATGTGATTTTAAGTGTTTATAGTGTATTTCGAGTGATTCTGGGGAATTTGGCAGATTTTTGATTAATCTGACAGATTTTTGAAGTGCATTTAGCAGAATTTGGGCATGACCTTACGGTCACACTGATTGGTACATTTGATTGCAATGCACTTTTGTCACTCATTGCTTCTCTCCACCCAAGAGTAAATGGGTACCTATGAGGGCAGTGATGGTTATTGTGATTGAATTAGCTTGCTTGCGCCTAACAGGCAGCATCGAGCTGTATACTCCCCAGGGAGCTGAGATGGTATATGAAATGTTTGATTGGCTCAATGATTAGGGGTAATAATAATGTAAAGCGCTTTGATCTTAGTTAAAAGTGCTATATAAGAACCTGTTGTTATCATTATTATTATTAATGCATAGTTGCAGAAAATCAAATCGCATTACATTGCCCACCGTTCTTTGTAATGTACATGCAATGACTCCCCCCCCCCCCCTCTCAAGTTTAACATTAAAAATGAACCCGAGGAGACGTTTTTGTTTGGGGGCATCAAGAAGTGTACCCAAATGCAACACTGCCTGGTAAAACCTACCGACACATTCTTTGCAACAACAAACAAAGGAAAAGTAAAGTAAAGTCTTTCACGAGCCAATATGGCCCATCAGGCTGGGGTTTATCTCCTAAATATTTCAGTGGCATGAAGCAACTGAAACATTTCTCTTCATCGTCCCAAATGATACTTTTAGTTCTTCTTTCGGTCCACTCTACGCTTTTGCCAGGTAGTTTTATGACAGTGCAAAAAAAAAGAAAAAGACGCCATGTTTTCCAAGCGAATGTATAATTTTGCATACTGTGTGGGTGCTTCAGACAGGCAGTATCATTGATATGACGCCTTTTTAAAATTCATGTGGGTCATTCCATGAAGTTAAGGAACAGGCCATAATTTTCTGAGGTCGATTATAAAACAAGTTTTTCTTTGTTATGGAATGGTTATTTCCAAAACAAATGTCATTTGACAATAAGGCTATAAGATAAGCTTTTAAATGATACCATGCTCGATGATATTCAAAAATAACTTTCATACCAAAATTCTGTAAATGTTATGGCATCCAGCATAAAAAGTGAGGAAAAAGTGTGACAAAGATACCTACAGTTCAAAAATAACTCATTTTGAAAAGAAAACAAGTGGACTGGAGTTGAGGTTTTACACAAATTATAGCGAGAAATGACCCATGTACATTGTACATGACATGTTTGAACATGAATCTTTAGCTAATTATTATTTTCTGAAAAAATTCTTGACCCCTTTGACCTGCAGTGTTATCAACTGATAAGCTGGCATACAGACCTAATGTCGTAATGTCTGCTGAAATTGAATTCTGTGTGTGGTGAACAACATTGAACCAAGACTGAATTTTTTTTGGGGGGGGGGGGGTGTTTTGATCGTTCTTGAAAAAAGTTTGTACCTACTGGTATATGTACAGGTACATAATTTGCTTGTAACTTATGGAACATGTATACAAACATGGATGGATCTGTAACAAGTGTTTCAACTTCACTGCAAATTGTCTACTGAAACACTGTACTAGCATTTTT